ATGACACCACCCTTATGGCAGAAAGTGAAGAAGAACTAAAGAGCCTCTTGATGAAAGTGAAAGAGGAGAGTGAAAAAGTTGGCTTAAAACTCAACATTCAGAAAACTAAGATCATGGCATCTGGTCTCATCACTTCATGACAAACAGATGAAACAGTGAAACAGATGAAACAGGGGAAACAGTGAAAACAGTGAGAGACTTTATTTTTGGGGGGTCCAACATCACTGCAGATTGTGACTGCAGCCATGAAATTAAAAGAAGCTTGCTCCTTTGAAGAAAAAGTGTGACTAACCTAGACAGCATATTAAAAAGCAGAGACATTACTTTGCCAACAAAGGTCCATCTAGTCAAGGCTATGGTTTTTCCAGTAGTCATGTATGGATGTGAGAAATGGACTATAAAGAAAGCTGAGTGCCAAAGAATCGATGCCTTTGAACTGTGGTGTTGGAAAACACACTTGAGTGTCCCTTGGACTCAAGGAGATCCAACCAGTCCATCCTAAAGATCAGTCCTGGGTATTCATTGGAAGGACTGATGCTGAAACTGAATCTCCAGTACTTTGGCTTCCTGATGTGAAGAGCTGACTCATTTGAAAAGACCCTGATGCTGGGGAAGATTGAAGGCAGGAGAAGGGGATGACAGAGGATGAAATGATTGGATGGCATCACTGACTCAATGGAGATGTGTTTGAGTAAACTCCAGTTGTTGGTGATGGACAGGGAACCCTGGTGTGCTGCATGTAGTCCATGGGGTTGCAAAGAGTGGGACATGACTGAGCAACTGAACTGAACTGATAGAGAAACAAATTGGGATATTAAATGCTTGCTATTAGGGAGCTTTGAGGGCTTTCTTGGCCCTTCATCCTCATGCAGATGCTGCAGATCTGAGCATCATTGTATCAGTTTCAGCATGACCACCAAGGACTGACCTGCCGCCTCTTCTCTCCCTCCACTCCCTGGTACCAGGAACTGATTTCATGAACTTCACAGTGCACTCATTTTTGGTTCTGACAAATTTATAGTGTGCCTTGGGACATAAATGTAATTGACTATCATTTCAGTCTTTGTCATCAGAAAGGTCATTGGAGAAAAATGCATAGGGAAATTCTGAAGTAGGAAAATTGTTAGTTAATCTGAGCTTTTCATTTAACTAAGATTTTATTTTTAGGTCCAATTTCATCTTGCTATGCCAAAGGCCATTATAAAACCTGATGAAGAAATCATTTCCTTTTAAAAATGATATAACATTTAATTGTAATTCTAATTATATTCAACTTAATGGTAATATTAAGGTATATTTTGAGTGGAGGCTGAGTTCTATCTGCTTTACTCCTTGGCGATTGTGGAATTGTGAAGCTGTTGAAGTTGAATGACTTTTAGAATTATATACTTATCACTTACAATACTTTGTTAAATTTATTTTCCTGACCGATGTGAAAAAATCTTTAAATATATGTATTTTAAAGAGTATTTTTATTTTAAAGATTACTTGCATTTCAAATCAAAGGAAAGAAAGATATATATCTGGAAATGTGGTTTTCTTGGACCTCCCTTTTATTTATATATTATGTCTATTTAGTCTATGGATGGCTCTTTACTTCATCATCATTTCCTAAAATGTATGGAAAATTGTTGTTCATATTTATTCTTCCTCTTTTCTGCTATAATTGCTTACTTACATTCTTCAAAATTTTTTCTTTTCATGGGTAACTAAGTAGAAGTAAATATTATTTGCCATCTCCAAAGAAAAGTCAACATAACAGGCTCAACTCGCATTCACTCATTTGCCTGTCCATTGTTTTTATTTTTCAGTGAATGCTGAGTGCTTCTCGCATACGTATAATTTACTGGGTGCAAGAAAGAATTGAAATAAGATGGTGGCACAAACCAGCTCTAAAGAATATCGAAGGAACGGAGACACTCCAGGATTTTCACACACATAAGATAACAAGAACATAAAATAAGAGGTAAGTAGTGTTTTTTTTAAGGACGAGGTGGACTATTGGAAAGGACCTCTCCATAGACTAAGGAAAAAGTTTCATAAATGATGGGAAACTGCTATGAAAGTTGAAGAATAAGGAGAATTTGAATGAGTCAGAAATAAAGTGGAAGAAATGACAGGAAATGAGACCAAAAGAGTCAAGGCAGAGTTAGGAAGAGAATGGGCAGCAGATTAGTAAGAGCAGAGAAGGTGGTTTGTGTGGAAAGAAGGATGAGTTATTCAAATGAAAAAGAAGTCTGGAACTGATCTTACAAGGCTTTGGTTTCCAACTCCTTCACTCATCAGTTCAGTTCAGTTCAGTCGCTCAGTCGTGTCCGGCTCTTTGCGACCCCATGAATCACAGCACGCCAGGCCTCCCTGTCCATCACCAGCTCCCAGAGTTCACTCAAACTCATGTCCATCGAGTCAGTGATGCCATCCAGCCATCTCATCCTCTGTCACCCCCTTCTCCTCCTGCCCCCAATCCCTCCCAGCATCAGGGTCTTTTTCAATGAGTCAACTCTTTGCATGAGGTGGCCAAAGTATTGGAGTATGCTTTCACTCATAGAGGACTGCAATATCATCAGCCCTGGGTATCTGTGTTGGATCGATTCCAGAAACTCCTGAATACTCAAATCTGCTAAAGCTTTAAAATGGCATAGTACAGTCGGCCACAAGCATCTGAGGATGTGAAAGCCATGGATATAGGGGCCACTTTCATACTAAGGGACAGTGGTCCCAGACTTCAGTTTACTGTTGTAACAAAGTCAACAAACCCTTCGTGCTTTTGTAGCTGATTAATGACCGACCACTTGATAAATTTTGAGAAAGGACATTAAAAAAATGTTTTTGGTACTGGAACTAATAGGGGATGGCCCCATCTGATATTTGCTCAGATATACTTCCCTATCAATGCTTTAATCATTTTGTAAAGACTACTAGTTGTTGCCTCAATCACAGATGTGATGAAGCAGAAGTAGGTTATGCTACATCTAATTGTTCTTCATTCTCTGTTATATAGTCTCATTTTATAACAATGATTTAAAAAAATTAATTTTTCATTGTAAAAATGAGTCATTTCATATTTCTCATAGCCAAAAATGAAACCCAAACATATTATTCTGGGATGCTCTCTTTTTCTTATCTTAAAGGAGCTAAACATAATGCTTGTTTTAAAAAATTTGGCAAAGTTGATATTGATGGGCTCTGGATTTTTTTTCTGGCTTATTTTACCTCCTGCTGGCTGCCTAAGTGATTGTTCCATCAGGCAGATATTAGAAATATACAAACACATGCAAGCCTCTTGCAGTCTTCCCATCAGATTTCATCTGCTAATGGGCAGCCCAGCTCTCTGATGTGTTTAAATTCATCTGGTGCTTCCCGTGTTTCTGTGATGTATTTATTCACGGCCATAATTTGGGTGTCAGCAACATGTTTCTCTGTCTTGAATTATCTACTTTTATCATTCAAATTATTAGTCCGTTCATTAAATGAGCTTTCATTTACATGCAACAGTGCTTTTGTTAATACTTTTAAATTCCTTTGGGAATTTTGAGATATATTTCTAGAATCTGATTGTGGATTATGATCCAAGTTGCTATTCATTTATTCCTACAAAAAAGGCATGTCATTGCTTCATATTTCTGAGACCAAGGAGTTGCATACCACGATGATTAATCAGAGGAATAAATAAAAGCCAATGGCAAGAGATCAGTTGAGCAGGATGTTAATGTAACTCAAGAGAATAGTTTATGTATAAATACAGAAATATAAACCAAATTTTAAGGAACTGAGGAAGAATCACATGTTGGAGTGAAAATGACAAAGTAAATCCACCCATTCTTAGTGATTGGCAGTTACCTAAAGCATGAAATAGGGGAATAAATGGGGTAAGAATAAGATCAAATGAACATCTTGAACATTTTCAAGAAGGAGAGACTTGTACATCCATGAGGATGAGGGAAAGGACCAATGAGGGTCCAGGCATGTAGAGGGAACATAATTATTATTATGGGAAAGTCCATGGAATAATGGAAGGCAACTTGAGTCATCGATGTAAGAAGAGAGAAATTCAAGGTTATCAAAAAGATGGAGGCTGATAGAAAGATCATAGTGTGTGTCTCTGCCTTTTAAAGTGAAAATGCAGCCCTTTTACATTTTTCGTCTTGTCTGATTGGAACTCTATACCTCTTAAACAGAATCTTCCTGTTTTTCCCTTCCCACCATTTTATTTTCTGTTTCTATGAGTTTGACTACTTTAGAGACCTCATGTGAGTAGAATCTTGCAGTGTTTGTTTTTCTGTGGCTGATTTATTTCACTTGGCATAATGTCTTCCAGGTTCATCCATGTCATTGCATACAACAGGATTTCCTTCTTTTTGTCATGGTCGAATAATATTTTATATATATATATATATATATATATATATATATATATAATTTATCCATTCATCCCTTGACATTTAGGTTGTTTCTGGCTCTTGGCTATGGTAAATAATGCTATGATCAACATGGGAGTGCACATATCTCTTAGAGACAATGATTTTAATTCTTTTGGAATTAAAGTGGCATCAGTTGCCTATTATCAGGAGTAGAAATCTGAGCACTTCTGACCACTGCATCTTGGTATTGGAGTCTCCATGGAAAAATACTGCAATCAAGCACTGGGTGGAAAAATGCTTTACTCACAAGGAGAAGAGAGAGCAAGATCAGCTTCAGTGGCGGATGTCAGTCCCCAATGGCCAGCAGGTGCCTCCCTGCAGCTGACGAAGCTTAATTGTTCTGCATTCATCCCTCTGTACTCCAGCAAGAGGGCCCTGTGGACAGATAGAGTCATGAGGTTGTCAGGGTGCCATGTGATGCACATGCTCAAGCAGAACGATCTAAGGAGCACACACGAAGTCTGAAATTCTGAAATAGGAAAACATTTCCTATTAGAAACATTTGATTGTGTTTTCTGTTGCTGTGTTAATAGTTTTTGTTTTAATTATTTTGTTGTGGTAAAATATACATAATATAAATTTACCATTTTAACAATTTTTCCACTAAGTGTTCATTTCTGTTCGTTGATTGATATAGGATAATGACTTATTAATATAAAGCTAACATTATCTCCCTTCCTCCAAAATTAGCAGTATGTTAATATTTCAGAAATATTTCTAATACAGTTTTGTAAGATGTAAAATGAATTTTTACAGTTTTCCTCTGTAGTAGCTTCTTTAAAATTTTTTAAAATTTTATATTGAAGTATAGTTGATTTACAGTGTTGTATTAGTTTCAAGTGTATGGCAGAGTGATTCGGTTATATACTTGTATCCATCCTTTTTCAGGTTCTTTTCCCATACAGGTTATTAGAGTTTTGAGTGGAGTGCCCTGTGCTGTACTGTAGGGTCTTGTTGATTATTTTTATATAGTAGGTTGTTTATGTTAACGTGAAACTCCTAGCTTACCCCTCCCCTACCTTTTCCTTTTGGTAGCCATAAGCATGTGCTCTAAGTCTCTGCGGTGGCTTCTAAATGTGAGGCTAGCGTCATTCACTGCAGGTCAAAAGCCGCAGAGAAAAAACCAATAGCCAGTACCCATTCAAACGCACATTCAGGCCACAATGGAATGGGTGTTTTCTTCTTCCTCCCACCCTTAACACAGCTCTAATTTCCTATTGCCATTTTGGTTTTGATTTTTATTTTCTTGATGGTTACTGATGTTAAACATTTTTAAAATATACCTATTGGCCATTTTTGTGCCTTCTTTGGAGAAAAGTCTTTTCAAGCCCTTTGCCTCTTTTAAAATTGGGTTATTTATTTGTTTTGTTTTACTATTAAGTAGCAAAGTTCCTTATGTACTTTGGAAATGAACCCTTATCAGATACATGGCTTGGAAGTATTTTCTCCCATTCTATAATTTACCTTTTCACTCCATTAGTTGCTTCTTTTGATGTGCAGTAGCTTTTGGTTTTAGTGTAGTCTAGCCTATCTAATTTCAGGTCTTATGTTTAGCTGTTTAATGCGTTTTGAGCTGATTTTTGAGAATGGTGTAAGATGAAGGCCCAATTTCATTCTTTTGTATATGAATATTCAATTTACCAAGTATAATTTATTGAAAAGAATTTCCTATCCCAATTGTGTGTTTTTGGCACCCTTATCAAAGATCAGTTGATTGTAGGTGTGAGTTTATTCTAGGATCTCTATTCTATGGTACTGTCTCTAATGTCTTTGTACCAGTACCATACTGTTTTGATTGTATCTTTGTAATATGTTTTGAAATCAGGAAGTATGAGGCCTTCAGTTTTGTCCTTTTTGGCTCAAGATTGTTTTGACTATTCAAGGTCCCTCGTGGTTCCATATGAATTTAGGAATTGTTTGTTTGTTTGTTTGTTTTTTGTTAATTTAGGCAAAAAAAAATACCCTTAGGGTTTTTAAGATGCATTGCACTGAATCTGTAGATTGTTTCGGCAGTATGGACATTTTAACAATATTGTCTTCTAATCCATGAATGTGGCTTGTCTTTCCATTTGTATGTGTCTTCTTTAATTCCTTTCAGCAATGTAGTTATCACTGTAATAAGTCTTTTTCCCTCCTTGGTTAAATTTATTCTTAGACATTTTATTCTTCATGGTGATATTGCAATGGAGATTGTTTTCTAGCTTCCTTTTCAGATCAATAATTGTTAGTGTGTCCACATCTGGCTTTTGCATGTTGATATACATTTTCATTTCAAAAATAGAATGAGGCATAGAATCTAGAGAAGAAAATTGCAAAGACCAGGTTGGGGAGGTGGGAGGAGATGAGTTATGACAGCAAATCAGTGGAGATATGGAAGTCAAACAGGGTAATATAAGCTACAGTGTCATGGATAATGAGATTCAGGCCCTCAACAATGAGTTCATCCATCTTCCCTGGGTACCTGCCATTACTCTGTGACAGGTACTGTGATGTGCGTTGGAAACACAATGGTGAAAGTTCAAGGGCAGGAAGTAAGACTGAGTAT